ATGACATCTGGTGTACGCATCACCGCTTGAACCATGATCCAAGAATGTAAAGATTCTGGAGGCACAGAATGTGAGCAAGTGGCAAGAGTTATCACTGAGTGTACCTGTACCATAATGACCAATGACCTGTTCAAACTTAGTTCGCAAGGAGCCGGTAACTGCATTTAGGTTACCCACGATCACGAGATTATCATGTGGAGGGACTGTGCGCACTGGAGATTCCAATTGATCGTAAAAATGATCTCTTACTGAATCAACAGATTCTTCTGTTGGAGCATAGACTACTATGACAGCAAGGTAATCGTGCCGGAGTTTAAGACATGTAATAAGTAACCAAAAAGACATGGGGGGCCAGGTTATCAAGGAGGACTTGGCCTCACCTTGCAATATTAGTGCTACCCCCTGGGGCCACCAGAATACAGAAGTAAAGAATTTTCCACCTTGTGACCTCTATGATCTATCAGCCTTTCTTCAGTTAGACCTGCAATTGATATGCAAAGACGGTCCATTTCACGTGAGACAGGACCTGATGGCCATGGCTGTGAAGAGTTGCAACATTCCAGGTTGCAGTTTTGATGGACTGGTGGAGATCCCAGATACGATTGGATACATTGTCACTGCATACTGCAGACATCAGAGGACGCGCATCCCTAGGGGGACTTTGGCACAAGCCTGTCATATTTAAACGGAGGGAAGATGTCACCAGCAAGGCATCTACAGCTGAGAGTAGGGCAAGGGTTTAACCCTGGTGCTGAATGCTAAGTTATTCATGGTCAAAAGCAGGGATCGGCAACCTTTGGCACACGGCCCATCAGGGTAATCCGCTGGTGGGCCATGAGACATTTTGTTTACGTTGACCATCCGCAGGCATGCCCCCCTGCAGCTCCCAGTGGCCGCGGTTCACTGTTGCCGTCCAATGGGAGCTGTGGGAAGTGGCGCGGGCCACAGGGACATGCTGGCCGCCGCTTCCCACAACTCCCATAGGACAGGAACGGTGAACCGCGGCCACTGGGAGCTGCAGGGGACCATGCCTGCAGGTTGTCAACATAAACAAAATGTCTCGTGGCCCACCAGCAGATTACCCTGATGGGCCACATGCTGAAGGTTGCCGACCCCTGGTCAAAAGCAAGAGCAAATGATTGTCCCAAAAAATATCTTGTCCCTCTGAAATGAGATGGAGGCACAGTATCACAACCCTTTTCCTAGTCTTCACTGCCTGTGTTAGCCATCATTTTCAGGGTTCTTGTTGCATAATGCCCAAGGTGTTATTTCGGACAAGCCTTCATAGCTGATGGCATAGCTCCAATGAGTGATCCCTTAATTCAGAAGTTACACCCCTCCACCACGATGAGGCACAGGTCAGACTCGGGGGCAAAGGCTAAAGTCTGGGAATTCCACTTGACACAGTTTCCAGAGGCAGATGTATTTATGCAGAACCTAATTACAGACACCTTGGGTTTAGCCATTAAAGCAGAATTTCCTCATGTAGAATCTAACAAATAACCGACAGTAAATCAAGATGACAAACCAGGCAACCACAGGACTGCAGACCGGTGAAAGAAAGAGAGTAGAGCTTAGAACACACATGGATTCAGAGCTGATGGTTTGTCTTAATTTACAGTGGAGAGAAACAAGACTTCTTTCACTGGCCTCTTTGCATTCCCACTCTTGGGGTGTGCTGATGGTTTAAGTTTCCCCATCAGAGAATTTCAAGAATGTTAACGTGTAGAGGTCATCTCAAAGAAGTCTGGTTATAGGTGAGTAAACTTCATTTCTTCTTCGGTTCACTTCTTCACATTCCCACTCTTGCGATGTGTGGATGGTGCAATTTGGACCATTAGTGTATCACAAGCGTTTGAATGTACAGAGGTCATCTTGAAGAAATCCAGCTACAGTGAACAACTTTCATATTGCATGTATCCATATAATTTAAGAATTTTTGCATAAATTCTTATTGGTATAGTATGATGGAGCTTTATGGTGAATTCTGTTAAAGGCAACATTAAGAAATCATGTGGGTTTTGTTTGTTTGTTTTTTCATTCTTACTTCCGAATTATCACTGCATGCAAATCAGTGAAATCAAACTTGTGACTTGCAGCAATGTAAACCTCCATCTTGCAAAGACAGAACAGTATCTATTAAGCTTGTTATTGCAAAGACAAGTCAATTAAATTATTATCAGCACTAATTCGCACTTCCACAAGCTGTTAAATTCTTTACCTACAGCCCAGTGGCATTCAAAGATGTGCATAATACTATCCTGCCTTTGGAAACCTCAGAGAAACTACTTCCAGTCTAATCCCGATAACTGAAGTATCACCGGCAAGTATAAAGGAAAGCAAACACATCTGTGCTAATGACTTTGAAATATATTTGATCCATATGGCTAAATGATTGTTACATGCAGTTACTATTACCACTGAATTCCAATAATTATATGGTTCAGACACCCTGGTAGTTCTTGTTTGCCTCTCATTGCTTTAAGACAAAATAGTGATTTAAATCTCCATTACCACCTACTGTGTCAATATATGATTTAAAAAAAAAATCCAAGTATTGTTCCTCTGATAATCGATTCTTAGTTTATTTCTCTATCCCTTGTCCTTTTTTTTTCCCCTCAAGGAAGAAAATCTATAAAAATGAATAAATCATATTTTGATTCCAGTATAAAATGTCAGCCCCATATAAGATTGCTCTTGTCCAGTATACAATTACAGTTTATTACTTGAATTCATGATTGGCTTGTGGTTCATTTCTCATGTAAGTGACTTTCATTCCATGAATTAGTTTGTGTTTGTGTCTGATTGCACCAGGATAGCAATCTGTTTTATATCTACCATTTGCTAGTCAGCTGATACACTGGATAACAGCGCTTTGTAAAAAATGTAAAATGAATGACTATCTGCACTGAAATTCAAACACAGCTTGTGAAGCCTAATCTAAACTCCCAAGGATGAGTTTGCTGTTTGCTTTTTAAGATCTGTGATTAATAATAATAATTAATTAATAAAGGTAGCAGCAGTGATGAAGAGAAAGTAATCACCTTGAGAAATGAGAACTTTCTCACAGTTATTAACTGCATGACCATATATAATAGTCAATTCCTTAATGAATGGAATAAGTGTGACCACAATATAGTTGCTGTGCACTAGGGCCCCAATCTTGCATCATTCAAATCCATGCTCTTACTGTCTTACTTGGGGAATGTGGGTAGAGGCCCCTTCACCAGGGTCCCTCCTCCTTTTCTTCCTTCCCACACAGAATGCACATGGGCATTGTGAATGGGTGGGAACTAGGGCTGGGGCTTCCAGTGAACTCCCCATCCTCTCTGCATTTAAGCATTCCTGGATGATGAGAGATGCTCCCCCAATCCACCCACACATTTTGCCCTATAAGTGGGGTGGCTGTCAGAGCTGTGTTTCCAGCTTGCTGTTACCTGTTGGGGTCAGGAAGGATTTTTTTTCTCCCTGAGGAATATAGGCAAGTTGTCCAGTGAGTGTTTCACCTTCCTCACAGCATCTTGTGGGCCCGGTAGATGGGGTTGATAAGTATAAGGATAGTACTCCCTCCCATCACCAAAATAATAAGAGGGGAAGTAATAAATAGAAATCATTATTTTCACAACTTGTGGCCATTGTGCAGTCAGAGGCTACAGGGTCACAGCTTCAAGGGTAGCGGCGCACGAGCGGCAGCGGAGGTGAGCTAGGGCGGCCGGGGCACATTTTTAGGGGCGGCATTCTGGCGCCGGCCATGCCGCCCCTAAAAATGTGCCGCCCCAAGCACCAGCTTGTTTTGCTGGTGCCTAGAGCCGGCCCTGACTGTCAGTAATGCTACTTTAATGGCTACAGTATTTACATAATTGTCCTTTAAAAATAAAACCCAAACTTCCCTGCATGCTGTTGTTTACATTTTAAATAATTTTACATTTGGCATACAATAGTTAGATTATAGATTAAGTTGTAGATGAATATTATGATGAATGTGCTAAATGAGTTGGTTCTGGTGTGAGTACTGGTGACTAAAGAGTGTTAGCTGACACATAATAGCCTCCCTGCCCACTCTGCTTTATTCATGTTTTTTTGTGATTAAATAGCAAAGTTAATCTGTCAGACTTCCTAATGTGCCATCCTTTTGTATAAAGATTCACTTTTATTATACAACACAATGTGACTTGGCATAATGAGTGCATCACAGATTGGTAACCTTCCTTATTAAAATGTCATGCATATTTGAATAACCAGTCATCTGTATGCATTATGCATAGTAACAACTATTATCCGCATAATGTAAAAGCATCACTGATTCTGGATTGCAAAGCGTGCATGTGTGCGCGCACACACACACACACCTTCCCCACACCCCATACACACACTTGGTGCCCTGAGAGCACACAGAGAACTTTCTTTGGTCTACTTTGAGTGTGCTTGTAGGATGTACTAATATTTTCTTTGTATGTCTGTAAGCCACAATTAGTAGCATAACTGTATTATGTGTAGTTTGTACAGCCCTCAGTCCCATCAAACTGGACTGCTGATGAACCGTACCAGATGGAAACTCACATACCTGTGGTTGCATTTGTAACCTCGGTAAACACTATTTCAGCTAAAAAACAAAACAAAAACAAAAAAAACCCCAACCACCTGCCCTTTGATGGTACTTGGTAATAGAAATCCTGAAGTGGCATGTTTATTGTGCTTGTTTGCATGTCATTATCCAGAATACTCTTCAAATTTAGAGCAGTTTCAGAAAAGCTCTGATGTTTGTGCCATGGGAACAAACTTAAAAGGACGTAAAGTTCAGTGACAAATTAGACTTTGGGGTAATTAGAAGATTGACTTATCAGAAATGTGACTTTAATTTTTGCTCCTATTAAAGTTTCCTTTGTGAACTCTTGCATTAAATACACAGTGTTTCTCATTTAACTCTTGGAAGACTCTCTCCTTTCATATGTCAGTGAACAGATTGCTGGTACTTACCATTTCCCCCCCCCCATTTACAGCACCCTGTGGAGGAAACTTGACAGGCTCATCAGGTTTTATTCTTTCACCAAACTTTCCTCATCCCTATCCACATAGTAGAGACTGTGACTGGAGTATCGCTGTTAATAACGACTATGTTATATCATTAGCATTTATCAGGTAAGCTGTTATTTGGCCATATCTTTTTTTAAATCATGTTTACATCATTACCATTGGTGGCTGCTCAGAGTTCAATAGGGTAAAAGCTGAAAATACCTAGTGCACATTAAGTAACCATCAAGACTATCAATAATTGTTACCTTTGTCAGCAGTCTCTGCAGAAACACCAAGGACTGAATAAGCATAGAGACTTGAACACACACAGGGCTCAATCCTGCAAGGTGCTGAACATGCCTGTGAGATGCAGAGGGCCCTTAACTGCCACTAACCAAACTAGAAGTAGAAGATGCTCAGCATCTTACAAGATCAGGCCTACAGAGAGATTCTTTCCATGACAAGGTCGGGAAGACAGAGTAAGCTAATTTGCGGGGCTCTCCCCTATCTGAAAGGAAGGACTTTTTTGACCAGAGGTCTGTCAGTTCAGCACCTTTCATAGGAGATGTGCACATGAGATTAAAGCAAAACATTAAAAGTAGTATTTGGATCCAGTTTTATTAGCCCACATTGTTACATAAAAATGTGGCTCGTGTGAGTAATATTTTCCTGGATATTAAATGCTGTTTGTTAAACCCCTGTATCATAATGCAGTACTTAATACTGTTTCAGAGAATTCGCAAAGAGAATGTTGCTGTCTGCATGGTATTATAACCATAAAGCAAAACCAGACACTTTTTGTGGAGAAGTATTTATTTGAAGTTGATGTTTGTTGTTATTATTATTATTATTGTAATTCCCAAAGACCCCAGTTGGGTTTGAGGCCCCATTGTACTAGGAATTTTACAAACATAAGAGACAAATCTTTCCCTGATTTTTGGTCATATTCTAAAATTTATTGCCTAGTGATTTTTTTAATGTTTGCTTTCGTCTGAACTATTGCTCACCAATTACTTATTACTCAGTAGCAAAATATGCACATTAAATAGATACTTTTAAGATATCAGTTAGAACTTTTACTATGTCATGGGTAAGCTTTTTACTGTACTTTATGTTCAGAAGTCTCAGTGAGTCATTTGATTTTATAGATTCATAGATTCCAAGGCCAGAAGGGCCATTGTTACCACCTAGTCCCACCTTCTGTGTAACACAGGCCATAGAACTTCCCCAACCACCTTCACAAAAAGAGATGTTCAAAACTCACCCAAACAGTAGAAAGAGGAAGAGAAGGTTGAGTTTCAGACCATTCCAGCCATGCTGATTGTAGCCAGACGGCCACTAACCCCCTGGTATTATTACTATTGAGTGTTTTTTGCCGCTACTTAGAAACAGTGTTGGTAAGCACTCAGTTGAGCTGATTAGAGTTAGGATATCACGCAAAACATATTCTACCTAACATTTCTTTTCTTTTTAATGTTTTATAGTTTCAGTATAGAACCAAATTATGACTTCCTCTATATCTACGATGGGCCAGACAGCAATAGTCCACTAATTGGGAGTTTTCAAGATAGCAAGTTGCCAGAGAGGATAGAGAGCAGCTCAAACAACATGCACTTGGCTTTTCGGAGTGATGGATCTGTTAGCTTTACTGGTTTCCATTTGGAGTATAAAGGTAAATGCAACGGGTGTTCTTTTTTTTTTTTCTTTTTTCTTTTTTTTTTTGGTTGGTTGGTTTTTGTTGTTCATTCGTTTTATATTCTATGTATCACAAACATGAACAAAATTTGATACAAAATGTTTTATCTTATGAATATACAGAATTACACTAAAATGTGCAATTTGAGGTATGAGTGTAAAATTGGTTTGTACAAATTATTTATTTCTCTCATTCTGGGAATGATTATATATACACAGACACTTTAAGGTGTAATCTATCTGCTGCTGGATTTAATTGTAAATGTTCAGTATGCTATTTTAAAACCACATTTTAAGACATTAGTTTACAAAATAAAAAACAAAATGTTACAGTAACAATATTTAATTTGACAGTGCCTAATACACATGTAATAGTTTTTTTTCTAGCATAAATGTAATAAGAACCTCTGGCATATTAGCACATCAGAGCCCTGTAAGGTATGCTGATGAGGTGCAATAGATGCTGAAAGCTTTAAAAGTGTTAAGTCTGTTAGGTCAATGATCTAAGAACAAAAAAGAAGTCTTGAAATAGACTTTTACATGATGGTCCATATTAGATCTGTTTGAATTTGGTCTAAACACCATAGACTATAAAGTAGATCCTTGCATATTTATCATAGGCAGTATCAGTTTCAAAGGATTGTCACTGCCTTGTTAGGCGAAATAATGCTCACTGTAAAAAGTTCCTGAATATGTACTTACACAGTAGAGAACAGTGAGTCCCAATGGATATGAATCATGCTGCCAGTGTATTTTAAGCTCATTGGGCCACTTCTTCAGATAGCTGTAGTGTAAAAAAGAGAGGGTTCCAGTTGTTCCAGTTCCAGTTAGTTGGGTTGGTCCAGCTTTGAGCAGGGGGTTCAAGTAGATGACCTCCTGAGGTCTCTTCCAACCCTAATCTTCTTTGATTCTCTGAAATGTGTGTCACATTGTCAAACCCCATAGAAGCCCTCCTCTACAAGGATTTGGTTCCATGAGACTGGTTCGGCCTACTGGAGGACTGTTCTCTAGGGCATCATCTCCCGATCAGCTATGGAGTAGTTTTCACAATAAATTCATGGTAAATCCAAAAGCAATAATTTTCATTAATTTCCCCCATATCAAGTTCTCTTCAAACTCCCCATGCCGGGAGATTCATCAGGTTGCTGTGTTTGGATCCCAACACTAAATCCATGTGTTTTTAGCTTCCCTTTCGTCTGGATAGACTACAGGCACTCTCTTTTGTTTTGGACTCCAAGCATACTCCCTGGGCAAACACTATTGTTCGGTACCGCTTTGGAAGTGGGACCCTGCAATCCAGCTGCCCAGGTCCCAAGATTAGTGCTGATCTAAGTTTCCTCTAAGCTGCCCTGCTGCGTGACTGGGCAGCTGCCTATTAAGCCCCGCACATGGGCTCAAGGCTGCGGTGGGGAGAGATGCCTCTCCTGCAGCACGTACCTGCCGTGGCAGGGAGAGGTGCCCCTCCCTGCTGGCCAAATCACGGACCTGCCATGGCGGGGAGAGGCGCTCCTCCCCGCCGGCCTCAGCGTGGACCTGTCGCGGCGGGGAGAGGAGGACCTCCTCGGCAGCCCCAGGATGGACTTGCCCCAGACTTGCCGCAGCTGGGGGAGGAGAGCCCAGGGAGAGGCGCACCTCCCCACTGTCCCCAGCGCAGACCTGCCCTGGACTTGCCGCAGCCGGGGGAGAGGAGTCCCTCCCTCAGCCCTGTACAGGCCCGCCGGAGCTGCCGGGGAAAGGAGCCCCACCCTTGGCACAGCTCAGTCCTGTCGGAGCTGCCGCGGTTGAGGAGAGGCACCTCTCACCCACCCCCAAGCTGCTGCGGCGAGAGAGGGCTTGTGGCCGAGGGATGTGCTGGCTGCTGCTTCCCGCAGCCCCCACTGGCCTGGAACAGCGAACCGCAGCCAGTGGGAACTGCAGTCGGCTGAACCTGCGGACACTGCAGGTAAACAAACCGTCTCGGCCTCTCAGCGGATTTCCCTGACAGGCCGAGTGCCAAAGGTTGCCGATCCGTGCTCTAAATGTTTAATCTCAGTAAACTCTTGGACTCATTGATATCTACTCTCAGTGAATTCCAAAGGTTAATTAACTAATATACTTGAGGCAAGTGTAGAGAAAAGGACCCTTATTCAAAATCAATTTGCCTGCTCAATAATTTCAAAATACCTTCTTTTTTACATCTATCTATCAAAAATGTATTTGTATAAGTTTTTCTTCTGAGATCACCCAAGCTTTCCCTGCCCGACCTGCCTTTGAGCCAAAATCTTGTGTTAGCAATGTCTGTTGTGATGGGATTGATTATGAAGTCTTGGATTCCACGTTATGACTTCACAAAAAAACAATAAGCTTTCCCTGGATGGCTGAAAGGACAATATGTCTCATACCTAATTATCCTTTGATAATTTTGGAAGATAAATAGCAAGTGTATTGAAAACAGCCCAGGAACCAGGGCCGGTTCCAGGCACCGGCCCAGCAAGCAGGTGCTTGGGGCAGCCAATGGGAAGGGGTGGCATGTCGGGCTGTTCCTCGGCAATTCGGCGGCAGGTCCCTCTCGGAGGGAAGCACCTGCCGCCGAATTCCCGCCGAAGAAGAAAGCGGCGTGGTGGAGCTGCCGCTGGAGTGCCGCCGATCGCGATGGCGCTCGCGGCTTTTTTTTTTTTTCCGCCGCTTGGGGCGGCAAAAACCCTGGAGCCGGTCCTGCCAGGAACAGAAGGATGTATGTTAAAAGTTTCCAGTCAATGCAAGGTATATGGACTCTTGGGTCTTTGTAAGAATAATTCATTGGTCTGTTCCTTCTCCCAAATAAAGTATGAAAGACCCTCACTGAAGGGTACAATCTCCCTTTGACATTACACAGGGTACAGTCTGGACTGTTAGCTGCATCCCCTCAGTTCTCCAACCGGGAGTGCCTTTTACACTGCTTCGCTATGAGAACAACCACTCCTGGCCTGCTCACACCCAGCCTTCAGCATGTAAATTACCCTCAGATATACTGCAAGAGTGCCTCAGCCAGCCAGATTGCCATCCTTGAATTATACAGCAGAGTGACACCAGCAAATTCCCAGACTTTCCCCCAGAAATGTGCATCTTGTACTGCCCAGTACCATCCTGGACAATACAAGCTCATATAAATTACATCATTTCATTAATAGAAAATTATATACACAAACATTGTTGTCTCAAATTTAGTTCCCCAACACTTCAGTCCAAACACACTGGCTTAGATAAAACAATAAAACAAGTTTATTAATTGCAGAAAGATAGATTTTAAATGATTGCAAGTAATGAGGCATAAATGTCAGAATTGGTTACAAATAAAAGGTGAAAAACAAACCAATACCCAACTTAACAAGCTAAGTGAATTAAAAGCAAAATGTCTCTATCGCCAAATGCTTTTGCAGACTTACTGGTTGGATGCTTTTAAACTAGGACCCTTCCCCCACTTCAATGTTCCTTTCCTTGTTCTTTCTCTACATAGGCAATTATGATAGATTGTCACTCTTGGGTTTGTGCTTCTAATGTGAGGCCAGGTGGGGAACTCGTATAGCTCGAAGTACAGAGCAGTGGCTTCAGGGGTGGGGGTTGTTAATCCAGGCCAGCTCTGTATTAGGGCTTGTCTTCACAGCAACAGTTAGCTTGAAGTACTCCACTCAAGTCACTGCACTCGAGCTAGAGTAGACTAACTCGAGTGGAATTACTCGAGTAGAGTAACTCAGGTGTGGCTGCTCAGAGAGTTTGAGTGAGAGCAGCCTTGCTGTGAAACAATGCTCAAACTATACAGAGTGATTTAATTAGCAGCACAGAGAGATTGGATTAACAGCTGGTGAGTTGTGTTTAATTTGAGTTGCTGCCTGTAAATGCATCTCCACTGGATTACTAGATCAAGTGTAGTAGCATTTGAGTTTCATCCCTCATGCCCTCAAGGGGCCCCGGCGGCTGGGGGGAGGGCGGCCGGAGCCCTGCGAGGAGGGCGGCGAGCCCCGGCGGGGGCTCCGCTCTCCCCCCGGCGGCCAGAGCGCCGCGCCGCCCCCCTCCAGGTGCCGCCCCAAGCACCAGCTTGGTGGGCTGGTGCCTGGAGCCGGCCCTGTTCATAAGGGAGAGACATTACTTTAATATCCTGATCTGTGGAGCACACCATGACTGCTTTGTCTTTGAAATTTGCTCACGGATATCACAATAAGCTGAACAAAGTGCCTGAAAATTCTCCTGACTTCTGATATTGCTTCCCATACGTTGGATGCAAAAAGTCCTAAAAGGTCTTGAAAGTATCTTTTGCCTTGGGCTATCCAATATAGAGAGTTCTCAGTTCAGCATTGAGACTCTACCAGCAACATCCATGTATGCATTGGTCTCCAAGCTGCATTTCAACTGCCTCAAAGCATCCAGTGAGACCTGACATGTCAGTGTTAACACACCACATCTAATAATTGCTATCTTTAGTTTTGTCCCACCATCCACACAGTGCTTAATGCAGACCTTAGGCCATTTGTGTGATCAGGGAGGGATTCAATATTTGGCTAGACGAAGCAATAGGAATTATTGATCAGCCCATCATCTGCATTGTTTTGATAGTGAATCAGAATACAGAACACACAGTTCCTGAGGGTGTAGAAGCTCAGTAGACTGATGTCTCTGAGTTTGTGTCCACAGTCTGACCTGCTCAGAAAGGTATACTACATATTTAAGTGGAAGGGGTTTCTGATATGTTGTGAAAGCCCTTGCAGATCCATTTACTTTGTATTCACTGTTTGACTACCTTGGTCATATGTTAGAATCTGATTTACAGACATCTTACAAGTTCATTCAACTGCTATTTCAGATTTCTATGAGTAAGATGAGGATGCTGCACGTTTCAGGTTTTATTTTTAAATATACTTATTAAGAAGATACATCTTAGCTTTATTTTTATGGCAACATCTTTAGTGCTTAGTCAACATGCATGGGAATCTATCACAGCTGTATCTTTGGAGAAGAGAAAAT